TGGGGCCGGCCTCCGGCTGGGCTCCGGCTGGGCTTGGGGTTGGGGCCAGGGATGCAGCAGCTGGGCCGACCTGCCGGGCTTGGGCTGTGGCCGAGGGATGGCGAACGTGCGGGTGGCAGTGAGGGTTCGGCCCCTCAGCAAGAGGTGAGTCTGGGCGGGAGGGGGCGCCTGAGGCATCAAATGAGCAGAGAGGAGGGGGCGGCCCCCGCCTCTCCCTCAAGTGATTCTGGCGCGGAGAAATCAGACACAAAGTGGCCCAAGGGGCCAGCGTCCGGAAACCGTAAAGGCCTGGCGGGACAAGGCCTCGCTCGGGTCGAGCTTTCGCTTAGTGCCCTGGCGAGTAGCGGTTCGTGGATGGCCGCAGGGGTGGGCTGCGCCGTGTCTGTGTCCCTGAAGTCCTGACAGCAGGAGTTTTGAAAGACCGCGGCTCCAGTTGAGCGTTTCTCCTGGGTACGCTGAGAAAAGCTGGGAAAGTTATCTCCACGCGGGGGGAGGGATGGGCGGTCTCCTGTCTCTTCGTGGTGGTTCTGGAGCACCTGTGAGGACTGACACAGAATTGTGTGTTCCTGCGTTCACCTGGGTTTCTCTGCGAAGATGTGGAGGAAGGCGGATTGTAAGGCGTGAGAGGGAAATTGAGGCTCAGAGAGATTGTGGTTTTATTTTGTGCTTGACAGCAGAACTGTGAAGAAGGGGGAAGTTACTCCAACCCCTTCCCTCAATGTAGTCAGTGCCCATTTCCTCCTCATAGGTGAATCTGATCCTACACTTCTCAGCTGTTGAGACATCAAGTTTCCAGCTACATAATTTCTCTTTTCACTGAGTTTCCACTGATAGGTTTGGGAAGTCAGGAAAGGCTTCAAAGAAGGGTTGGTGTTTGAACCCAGTAACCTTTTAAAGAGCTATTAGAGCTTGCTGACAAATGTAAAGAGCACTCGGTAAGAACACTGAGAGCAAAGGACTTTAGCTTTTATTAGGAAATAGAAAAGTTTCAGTTGTTTGAGAAGAGGGTGTGTGGAGGGGGATGAGTGGTAGGAGATAAAGCTGGCAGAATGTGGTTTAGAACAGAAGGCACATATTGGAACTATTTGGGAGGTTCAAAAATTCCCAGGGCATAAGATGGCTTGGAAATTGGGCAGAAGGATCAAAAAAAAGGCATTGTCTCCCATAACAAAGTTTGGTACTAGCAGGGATTGTTGTCCTGATTGGAGGTGATTGGATTTGAAAAATCATGCAATTGACAGAATAATGAGGAGAGCAATGAGACGAGGGAAAGAAACAAAACTGAAAAGAAGGTAGGAAAAAATAAAAGAAGTATGATGAAGAAAGAAAGAAAGCAGCAGGTGCTTGAACTGCTGTATTTAGATTGGTACATGGCTTATGACACCTGTCTTTCAGCTTATGGATGTGGTGGCTCAGGGTTGGGGGATTTTCATAGATATAGATATAGGGTACCTAGAGGTAGCCTCTGGCAGATCTTTTTGCAAAGCTGCTCTTGTAGGGTTCTCAGGATAATAACTTTGACCACTCCTAACAGTAACTTCCCAGTTCCTTGGGAACTAGGAAGATTAAGGAAATGCTGTTGAAGAAATAGACTCACAGATGTAGAAAACAAACCAAAGGTTTGTTACCAAAGGGGAAAGGGGGTAGGGAGGGATAAATTAAGAGTTTGGGATTAACAGATAGGAGACTGCTATATATAAAATAGATGAACAACAGGGACGTACTGTATAGCACATGGAACTATATTCAATATCTTGTAATAACCTACAATGGAAAAAAATCTGAAAAATGATACTACTGGATCGCTTTGTTGTACACCTGAAACTAACACAACATTGTTAATCAACTACACTTCAATTTAAAAAAAAACTTGAAATTGGGTTGTTATTTGCAACCACAGTAGAGAATAACAATATCATTAAACAAAAGTGAGGGCAAAAGAAGGGCACAAAAGCTTATTTTTAGCTCAGGTTAAGAACCTTGAGTAGCAAGGGGTAGAATGCCAAGACTGCAGATACCCCAAGGTGTGAGCAGATTATTGCATGCTGAAGATTCAGGAGCACAGATTTAAAAGCAGATATGAATAAATCCAGTGTGACCCCAGCTAGGAAGTCGAGACCACGCCCCTCTTCTCATAGAATCACTCAGAGATGCAGCTGTATTCCAGGGTTTGTTAACTTCCACCATCTTTGCTGAGGCTCATTTGAACATTAGGGAATCTTCTGATTATGTGGTTTGTCCCAACCTTCAAATAAGTAATCAGCACAGACTCAGTTAACAAAGTCTTTGGATCTCATGTTGTACTTGGGAAGAAAATCTTAGGTGTCATCTAGTCTAAGCTTCCTAGAAATTGATCTTGTTTAAGGTCTAAAAGTAGGTAGAGCCAAGATTTGATTCACCGGACCAAGATGCACCTTCCTGAGATTGCAAAAGCCTGTTTGCTCAGTAGGACTAGAATTGACCATCAGTAAAGTAACATGGGAGATGGTTTGATGCTCTCCCTACTACCTCACAGTTGTTTCCCATAATCAAAGTCTATGTCTCATTATAAGATGCTGCCCCTTGTTTATCCCAAATCATTCATCATTGAGAGAACATGTTCTCTTTTGCCAGCACTATAAGCTCTGGAACACTTCCCGCTGCCCTGTCGAAAGTTACTTTTCATGCACTATATTCCTTTTCTGTGCTGTTCTTTTTAAATCTGTGAAAGAGTATAACGACCTCAGTGGTTTTTGTGAAGACTAAATGAAAGGATACATTTAAAATACTTAGAACAGAGTGTTCAATAAAGTGCTAACTGTATAATTTTTGACAGCTATTTTTACTCCTCCCTATACTTAGCTGTCTTTTTTTTTATTTCAAGTTTTACAAATGAATAGGTAACAAGTGGAAATGGCTTGGTTATTTTCCCCTCTAGGACAGTGATTCTCATATTATAGTATAGATACTGTATACCTGGGGAGCTTTTTATGCTGCAACTTGTTAACAAGCATTCGAATTAACTAGCCCCATCTCCCGTAATTCTGTTGAAGAAAGTCTGTTGAGCACACGTTGAGAAACACTCTCCTGGGAGTAAACAGGTAGTTGAGGATTTATCCTTGTCCAAAACCTTTAACTCTGCAGAATGAATGCCTCTTGGTGGAATTCAGGTCCCAGAGGCAAATGGGAGCAGCACCAGTAGACTTCCATTGAGCTCTGTGCAGCCAGCTGCCCTATTGAAGTTGGTGCCCTTTCTTTATCTTCTGCTCTACTTTAATTCTCCCTGATTTCATTCTAGAATACTTTGGAACCACTAGGTTACCAATGGCAGTGGTCCAGGCAGGGGAGGAGCAGCATCTCACCCACTTTTAGTGTCACATCTTTCTGTCAGGAGGTCAGTTTCAGGACCTTTTTTGTTTTTGGCTGCTTATGCTGAAGAGTCCTAAATGAATCCTCAAGAAAGGGCACACTTTAAAAGAATTCGATTGACTAGGTACGGAAAAAGTTATTGCATTTTCCCTCTTATTTATTATCCAAATTTACTATAACCTGCATATTTTATGGTGGGTGGAGGGATAATAAAACCTACTTTAAAATTCAGAAAGGAAAAAGATGTTATCTTGTAAAATGTTAACACCAAAGATGAAAGATTTTCTTTTAGGACAGCCAAGGGCAGGGGTAGGGGGTACAGTTTTATGATATCTCGGGGACAAAGACTATCCCTACTGCCTTAAGTACTGTCTAGTGTGAAATGTGAAAGAGCATCAGAACCCTGAGGAAATTTAAGTAACAGAAATGTCATCACTGGGAGAGGGACGTTTTTATCCGGGGCTTTATCCCAAACTCATTGACAGGTTTAAAAAAAAATCTTAAATCTGAAGACTTTTGTCTCACTGTGCACCCCTTGCCACCCCCAAATCCGCAAGGTCACATCCTGGAACCCTGAGGAAGGATAAAAACTGAATTACTCACTCAACTTTTGGGTCCCAGGCCAGCAGTAATTTAATTGATAACTTTCATTGCAGTGGAAGAAGTGCCAATGAATTAACTTTCCTCTGTTAACATTCTGGCCTTGAGCACTTTAGCTAAAGCTCTTTACACTGTGAAAAATGGTGTCATATCTAGAATGGAGTGTATTCCATTCCTTTTGGGCTTCAAGTGTGGGTCACTTGGATTAAGCCCCTTGTAAGTGAATGTCGGGGTCGGTTCGTTGTTAGCAGTATTACTATATAACTGCAGTATAGGATGATTCTCAAGGATCTTGGCTCTCATTTCTGATTTAAGAAGATATAAGGAATGGATTTGGGAAATATGTTCTCAGGATCTCAACAGAGAGGACTCCAAAACCTTTTTCATTATTTTCTGTGCTCAAAATCTCAGAGAAAGTAAGAGGTGATGCCATTCTGTGTCCTGAGCCAAGGACACTCTCCAGGGTTTCCAGGGCTGATTTCTAAGGCATATGGCTCTGTGGTCAGACAGATCTGAGTTTAAATTTCAGCTCTGCCACAGATAGCTGTTTGACCTTGGATAAGTTACATAATTTGTCTCAGCCTTAATCTTCCATCTGTAAAAATGTAAATACATTAAAAGCTGTGTTAGGAAAGGGTGTTAGGAGGATTGCATAAGATGACGTACAGTATATACTGTACGTAATATAATGCTGAGCACATAGAGAATGCCTGAAACAGCAACTCTTCACTGTTGCCAAGCCAAATTCTAACATCCAGAGAAGCATGCCAGCTAGGGGACTGCTTGACATGATGCTTACAGCATTTATGGAGACAGCACTAGGGAAACATTTTGTCCCAATAGCACTGGTCTCAGCTTCTGTTTTCTTGATTAAGAAAAAAAAAAAGCAGTATTTTTTTCTCATATGGGTTTGTATATTGTTTCTAGGGAGACCAAAGAAGGGGGAAGAATTATTGTGGAAGTTGATGGCAAAGTGGCAAAAATCAGGAATTTAAAGGTAAGCCTGAAACTGTCTTCCTTTTTCTTTCCACTGAGGAGCTGGTATTATTACAGTGACTTCTGGGGTGAAGATGTGTATGTGAATGTGTTTAGAGATGGGGAGTGGGAAAGGGAAGGGCTTACAAGGGGAATTGTGGGAAGAGCTTTGACCAATCACAAAGCAAATATAAAAATAAGGCAGGAAATAAATGCAGGGCATGTGGCTGCTGCAGCCCAAGTGCTATCAAATAGGGTGCAGCTGTTTTGGAAACTGATCAGTAGCTGCTTTGAAAGTAAATACCAGGGGTATTATGGGGCCCGTGGCCAGCTTAAGTCACGCTGGGGGAAATCTGTGCTTATATTTAACTCACCTGACCACCAGTTAGACTTTGTCTCAAACTTCTCATTTGATATCACTTCATCTAGAAGTGTTACTAGGGATTTTAGTATGCATCTGCTAATGCAGGATTCATTTTGGCCATACTGAGGGCCAGGGTAAGAGAATTTGGATCCCAGAAAGGAGTCAATCACTAGCCTGAATCTTGCTACAAATTTTCTCTCAGTTCTGACTGATCTTTGATCACAATTGGACAAACACTGGGAATTTCCTCCTCTACCCCTTACCACAGGCTAGGGCTAATTTTCTCCATCCCATTCCTCCATTTCCCAGGCCAGTGGAAGTGGAAGGGTTTCTTTCTTTCTGGGCCTTGGGCAGTGGAGAGGGACAGGGAAGCTGGCCGTGTGACTGCTGCTACAGTCAGCTTGCAGGTGGTACTCAGCATTCCTGAGAGCCGACGAAGCTGACTTGCAGGTTGAGAGTTATTGGGACCCCAGGCCCCCCAGCCATGCCCACTCCTTGGTTACTCCTGTGATGTGCTCTGTTTCCTTTTGTTGGTAGCTCTCTGCTGAAAGAGATCCGAGCCTGCCAAACTTTCAGCAGGAGCTCCCTAGGGACAAAAGGCCTTTCATTCTCTGCTGTCTCTTATTTATATCTCTGTTGCCTAATCACTTCAGCTGCTTTGTTCTGAAAGCTCATATTTTGGGTTCTTAAGAATAAATTCTGTCCAAGATCAAACTCTAATCTGCCCCCTGCACACCTTGTTGACTGCTTATTTCCCTGAGGTCAGTTGTCCTCTAGGAATCTCTTAGTCATTCTGACAGCCTCATTCTACCGTAATTTATGGTGCCTAGTTCAAGGGATTGTGTATCCCTGTCCAGAGTTTAAATTTTAAATGGTAAGACAGGCATTTCTGTGAATGCCATTCTCCCCAGTACCTGGAGGTCAGTACAGTTCTAAGTTCTAGCTCGACCCTTGTCTACCTTGGGCAGCTGGAGTGGTCCCACCTCTTCTGTCCAACATGCTTTCTAATTCACTTGAGGTGGATTCCCCAGGGACCTCTGTGACAGCTTTAAGTTGATAGAGCCTGTCAGGCCCAGGGGCTGACTTACTCAATGCATTTCCAGTGTCCTCTACAGAAATACATAGAGAAGAAATGATAATGGTAAGAAAGGCTTTTTCTCTCAAACTGTTTTATGCCTCAGGGAGTTGGTTTGTGTGTAGGTAGATAAGTGATAGTGTGACAGACAAATTTACTTCTCTGAGGCTTCACTCTACCTAACAAATACAAAGGTTACTTTTTTTTCTTTTTTTGGTAGATATCATAACTATTCTCATGACCAGTCCAGGTCTCTCTAGCTTCAGCAGAGAGGAATCAGTTCCACTGGCCAGATTCTTATATTATAGCAGAGAAGACACTGGATCCTATGTTTGATTTTAGGTGGACGGTCGACTCGATGGCTTTGGCGACTCCCGGGAGAAGGTTGTGGCATTTGGCTTTGATTACTGCTACTGGTCAGTCAACCCGGAGGACCCCCAGTATGCGTCTCAGGATGTGGTAATGTCATTATTTCCTTCACTCTCGCTGGGTCTTCATAACTGGATAATTATTGGGAAATTAACATGGAATCTGAGCCCTGGCTATTTCTTACTTATGATAGTTTGGTCAGAAACAAATGATGTTTTAATCTGAGAAATGGTGGTCAGAGGCATCAGTTGCAGAAAGAGCAGAGGAGATAGGAAAAGACTACTTTTCCAGGGCCCAGAAATTGGCTAGGGTCCATTTAGGCTTAGGCGTCAGCCTAATTTGGATGAGCCTGAGTTAGTTCAGGTGATGTTCTGCTCCAGTGGTAGGGGAATGGGCTCACCTCAAACCTGGCCTTCTGTTGTATGCTGCAGAAGGGCCCAGAGTTCTTTGAGGCTGATCTTTTCTTACAGCCTCAGGCTTGTGCTTGTGCCCCTGGGCTGAGTGCAAAGGGCTGGACAACTAGTCGGCCAGCCCACAATGTATGTAAGAGGCATATTTTGTTGATCTGAGGATTTTGAGGATCAGCCAAGGCTTTGCTGGCTAACGCTGCTGGTCACCCTTCCTGCCACTCATCTCTCCCACAAATTTCTAAGGCGGCAGGTCTAACCAGATGGGTCTGCAGGACTTCTCTCTATTTATCAGAAGCAGCAGCACTGTCCTGATTGGAGCACTGTCAAAGGTCATGCATTTAGTGCCCATGATGGCCAGCAAGCCTTGCCTCATTCAATTCTGTGACCATGGATGGTAGCCCTTATCCCAGCAGCCACCAGGTTCCTCTCTAAAATTAGAAAAATCATTTGTTTGGCCTTTTGTGGCTTTTCATATCCTCTTCCTTACATGTGAAAGAAAATATTAGAGGAATATGTCCTTAGAAAATAGCATTGGAAATGGAAATATTTGGAGGTGAACCCTAGACAACCATTGCCTATCAGTCTATATACCCTTGAATAAAAAACCAAAGTATGTTTTCTGCTAAGTATTTTAGTCTTTTGTGAAATGTTTCCTGATTATGCCAAAGAAACAATGTTACCAAGTTTGAGTGATTTAGAGGACAGCATAGGCATACCTTATTTTTTTAAACTTCATAGATACTGCATTTTTTATAAATTGAAAGTTTATGGCAAGTGTGCATCGAGCAAGTCTAGCCATGCCATTATTCACAGCATTTATTCGCTTCATGTCTCTGTATCACATTTTGGTAATTATCGTAATATTTAAAACTTCATTGTTATATTTATTATGGTGATCTGTGATCAGTGATCTTTGATGTTACTTGTTGAAGGCTCAGATGATGGTTAGCATTTTTTTTTCACATTTTTTTCTCTGTGATTTATCGTAACATTTTGTGTAATTTCCCTGTGCTATACAGTGTAATCTTGTTTATCTATTCTACAATTTTGAAATCCCAGTCTATCCCTTCCCACCCTCTA